GGCTTGACAGAAGTATAAGATAAATTAATCAAATAATACAAAAGCTGAAAGATGTGCCAGCTGGCTCATGCTCAGGAAGAAATACAGCAGGAAAGCCTGCAGGAAAGCAACTGACCAAGCAGGCAGTGCACTTGCTGTCAAGCCATTCTCATGTGTTACTGCCTTGCTTTAAAACACAGTTCCTAACAAAAAGACCACTCACACATTGCAAAATATACATTATTTTGAATGACACTGAGAGACACTCCCTGATGGAGCACAAAGCTCTAAAGACTCTTTCTTACAGTTTAAGGCCAAGGACTCTCATAATGAGTATTATGATATGGAATGTCTTAAGATTCACAGCCACTGTGCTGCCTGTTCAGTTTGCATCTTATCAGAGCTTTATATGAAGACAAAATTTGTAACCTGAAGTGAAAAGCTATTCACAAATAATCATCCTTTCCCTTAAAAAAACCCCAAACATAGTAAAAGTTGTTTCTCTCAGAAGTAGTGTGTATATTTGTCCTTCACAGTATCACAACCAAGATCACTTCCTTATGACATTTGAAAATGAGCCAAACACCACAGAAGAGATGCTTTTGTTCAGCATCAAATTCTTAAGCTCATGTGTGTCTAAATAAAAAGCAACGTGTGTGTCATAACGAACCAGGTGAAAAAGAGTTTACAAATTGACAAAGCTCAAGAACAATTTAAAGACTATTCAATTACTGACAAATGATGCTAAGCAAAACCTGGCTTTGGATGGAAGTATTCTGTTCATTGCCCACAGGGCTCAAGTGTGAATTGAAATCAGGAACACCTCTGAGAGAAGAATGCAATCAGAAATGCATACATCTCTTTCACCACGTGAAGTGTAGAATACTATCTTGTATTTTAGATAAACCACAAATTTACAGTCTTTTCTAGACCAAAACTTGATCTCAATGACTTATTAAAAAAAAAGAAAAGAAAGATTTTCACTACACAGAAAGCTTCTACATGAGGCTCCAAGGCTGGTAATAAAAAACGCAAACAGGTTTAAGAGCAAGAACCTATACACTAAAGAAACACACCAACTACCCCACCAATAAATTGCCATTGTTCCAGTCCTCCTAGCCATGCCAGTTCCATGTTTGCAATGTACAAATTAATTTCACACCATTTCAGCTTTAGGTTCCTAATGTCATATTTACATAGAAAAGAAAGTAGAGCCCCAAATTTGGTTCTCTCAAATTGATAAGTCTATAAGCAGGGGCTAATGACTATGGACATGCTACCTAATTTTCCTTAGCTAAAATGTGATCTCAATAGTCTGCTTCTCCACATTTCAAGAAATAAAAGCATGATCCCAACCTATTAAACATGATTCCCCAACTGCCTTTTCCTTGTACTAATGTTTACCTTGCATAACAAGCTTCCTGTAAAGCCCTCTCTCCAGCTTAACTGACAGAGCTGTCTGTACACAACCTTTAAACAGTTAATTCCACTCAACTCCTCTAATTGTAGGAGCACTTCAGAGAAGTTACTGACCCCAGGTCTTGCAGTAACCAGCTATAAAATGGTTGTTTACTGACTGTAGTTATTACATTTGTGCAAACACAAATAAACCCTCAGGCTAGTGAATGGCCAGGTGATACTATTCCACAGTGAAAGTGGTGCTGGGAACTGAATGCTTATCATAGTAGTGATCATCAGTGGGGCCAACAAAAACTGGGCCTTTGACATGGCCTTCTGATGGGCCCTTAATCATCCAATTATTGCACATATTTGTCAACAGTCCATTACCAGAACTGGCATGATGTACAAGAACAGAAATAGGTTCCTCATTTCAGTAAAAGGAAACTAAACCTTATGAATAAACTTGCCCCTTTTTACTGACATCCTTTCATCAATAGTTTAATAAGCACTGTGAGCTTTTTTCCTTAATTTGCACCCTACATATTTATTTTTAGAGATTCCAGACAACTGACTATGGAAACACAGATGCACCCATCTATTTGGTGGCGTTATTTTCTTTGCAACTGCCAGAGAACCATGGAAGAGACTGATCAATTAAGTGATCCCCTGTGAGCAGCAGCAACAAAGTTATCCCTGCAACTGGGTAAACCTTTCCCACAGTGGGCCCTGTTGGAGCCACAGGCAGCTAGTAATTAGCACAGTGGCATTAACACCAAATGAAGACATTGGTGAAACAGAGAACAGTTCTTCAGTCTCAGCAATACTGGGTGGCAGGGAGTTGCTCAAACAAAGATGATCCTGAATACTGTTGGAGAGAACTCAATCTACAATATAAACTCTCAGTTCAAACAGGTTAGTAAACTGTAAATTAGAGCAATTCCAGGATTAAATGACTTCCGAGTATAAGTTCTCTGCATAATCATTTTGGTTGGGAATGTTGGAGCTCTGCCCAAATTCTTTTTTGGAGTTCAGCTTCTCATCTACATCTAGGCTAATAAAACATCTTTGGTCTTAAATTATGTTGCTGAAGAACAGAATTTGTATCATATCTTGAAAGGAAAAGCAGCTGAATGACTCTCCAGCCCAGTCACTAGACAAACATGCCTATCTCAGACACTGGGATTGCTCTTACTATAACAAGGAAGTAAATAGTTCTTTCCATCATGCCTCCCCACAACTAGGAATTTTGCTTATTTCATAACAGAGGAAATAAAGTTACCTTCATGTTACATTTCCATTCTATTATAAGGCTTGTTATTTTGAAAACCAGATTATGTTTGTATGGGAAAAAAACAAACAACAAAACAAAAGATTCAAACATCTCATCATGTCCTACAAAGGAATCACTATTGTCAATATATTTAGTCAGAAGGTCTCCTGTCTCAGCAACTATGTTGTCCCTCTGCACTCTACTAAGAACTGTTTCCAAAATTTAAAATTAACAGATCCTGGTCCTACCATATCAGTTACATCTATCATACCTTTGGTCTGATGTTCCCATATCTCAGCTGTCCCCTCAGCCATGTGGAGCTGCAGACACACCACGGCTCTACCTTCCAGCTCCTTGGTGTTTTCCCTCTTCAACTATCCATAAATTAAATAACAGGTAAGAATTATTTAGACACATGCAATTATCCTATTTAGTAACTGAACAAAATATTGTGTCTCACTCTACAAAAACCCTCTATTGCTTTAGTTGTCTGGGTTGTTGAGGACACTACATTTCATTACTGTGTTTCCATACGCTGCTGAGCTCACTGAGTCTCACAGTCCTCACTATGGCACTGATATAAAGTTCAGTGCATCTCCATGCTACATATTATAAGTACATCTAATAGAAGTGGAGCACAGCATGGATCATCTGATTGCTGTTCTTGATTAAAAGTAGCACATTAAGATATTTACTATCAAACCTGCTTGTCAGCTGCCAAATTTGAAGCTTTCTGTGCTCTACCTTGCATCAAATTATTTTGAAAGTTTCAACCAGAATGGTTGCACTTTCAAAAAATGTCTTTAAGTAGAAAGACAAGTGACTTTCCTCACCTGAAGAACAAAAGCTTACACCTACTGTGTAGAGACACTATTACCTTTATTTATGCTTTATCTGAAATTAAGAAGGATGACCCCAGCATAACACCTGTATATCTTCTAATACACCTGTCAGGAAAGGATGTGAAGAGAAAGAAGTGGGGTAGAGAGACAAGAGAGAACAGAATCAAGGATTATGTAGAAGAACAACACAAGTTGAAGGTGTATAAGGTGATGTGAAAGCTGTAGGACTAGAGAGGAACAATAGTGGCAACGGGAGAGGAAAACATAAGAGAGGGCAGGAATTCTTGAAGAGGAGAGCTGAGGGTTAGCAGAGGTGAAAGTAGTTTCCTGACAATACTTCATGGCATAACTGTTCACTTACAGCCCCCATTTCTTTTCTAGTGCTTGACTACTTTGAGCTAGGATTTTCTTTTTGTTTCTTTCACGGCTGAAACCCATCTTAGCACTCGAGTTCTATTTTGACAAGTGAGGAAGCTCAACAACTCGCCAACAGGAAAAATAAATCCAACCCCCAAACACTCAGGGCTTCGGCACCGCATCGCAGCATGCACTGCCACCTGGAGACAGAGAGCTCCAAGTACAGCTAAAAGCAAAGGTCATGGCTCACCAGGAAACTCTTTTACCCCTACATTAATTTTATTAAAAGATAGCTAGCATTTACAGTGAGTGTTCCATGAGGAAAATCTATGAGGTCATTGAAAAGACTGTGGTTTTAATAAGGACATGGACTTCCATTTTTGAAGGACGTTTATTTTATGTTGCAAAACAGTTGTAAATTGTAAAGGCTTTTATGTTTGTACAGCACTGCACATTTCTGTGATCATGCCATTCAGTGCACAAACCCCGCCTGAATATTGTTCCTTTTCATGAAAGTTTAGAGATTAGGATGACAGGCATCTATCTTGAAATAAGTAAAGACAACCATGAGTTTCCACAGCATGGACAGGCAAGTGGAAAATACTGTGGTTCAAGTTTCAGGTGAGCTTGAAATTCTTGTGGCTGAGCTCTCCACTCAGTAGTCCATGCTTTTGTGTCTGCTACTAAGTTAAAACTAGATCTGTGCTCTGGTCATACCTCTGCTTCACCCTGAAAGCAATTATGGTCCTGTCAGAGGATGATCTGAGCATTTCTCAGGCCCCCAGTATAAACATTTATGCTCACATACCAGTTAAGTTATTTTAGCTGAGACAGTGGAATTCATCAGATATGAATAACAGAGAGGGCACTAGTTATTATTTGTTACTAATTTGCACTGCACTACATTTTTATTCCCAGTAAGTTTCCCTGAGAAGCTCTCTGTGTTACTCAAAACTTAGATGAGTTTGAGCTTTAAGTTTGTGGTTATACAACCCATTACTTTGAACCTAGACTGTGCCTTTTAATTTACAGACTCAAATAGCTTCAGAAATAGTAATTTAGCTTCATGACATCCTGCTGAGATAAAAATTATTGCATTCTATATTATCTAAGAGAAAACTCCAGGCAATAACTATAATATAGTAGTGGGCTTGACTGCAAGTCCTCTAAGGATGTTTACCAATGAGATTCTTGTCTTCATCATTCCTCTTCTACTTCTGTTTTCTATACTAAAAATAGAAAAAGAAAAAGAATTATTTGTGGGAATGAGCACATAACTAAAAGTTACAGTTCATACTGACAAGGATTTACAACCTTCTTCATGATCTACATAAAATTATCTCCATTTCCTTTAAGTTAGTCTGCAATTTGACAGGCTTTCCCTCTACAATATAAAATACTGCTTCTTGGCAGGCACTGTGAATCTGATCCTCCTCTCACACAGCTCAATTACCAGTTTTCCAGTGAAGCAGACTACAATCTCTGCAGCAGAATCAGAATGAGGCTTTTCATAATTATAGGGAGAATAAAATCAGGTGCAGGCATGGTTATTTACTAGGCTGTAACTGCTGGGATTTGGCTACTGCTATAATTTTATAATCTATGACTAATCTGTGCTTGCTCCTGTAACGATTCTCATTTGGATTTCATGGACTGGCAGAGAGAAGGACTTAACAGTCATTTAGTAAATTAAATCATAGATATTTGGAGCAAGCTGAACTTTTGACTTGTTTCATTGTACTCTGAGAAATCCATGATAACATGTCATGTTCCCCAACCAGACTTAAATCCAGGTGACTCTCAGCTAAGAGTAAACAATATGTATTTTATCTAAGAGACCCATTTGAGTGATATCCTTCAGTGCTGTGATAGTAGAGAGGCACATCCTCTGGGTGATAACCATGGCAGAAGGAAAGCAATTACCACAATTTTGCCACTAAGTTGTTTAACTCTAATTTGTGCAGCCACAGGCAAGATCTGAGCAAGAAAATAAATCTTTCAGAGGGCTTATGGAAACTAAGAGAAGAGAGATTCTTGTCAGGAAAGCAGCTGATGCCCATCAACCAACTGTGGCTTGCAAAATATGGTAGGGTTTTTTTCCTTCTAACAGAGTTATACTAGACACCACTGCTGAAATGTAATAGAATTCTTCATGAAAACAAAGATTTACAGAGAGAGCAACTTAAAGCATCACTGGATCTAAATAAATATCCTTATGTTTCTATCGACAAAGAAGAATTTTCAAACAAAAACTATCACAATCTTAAAATGTCTAGTGGGGTTTCATTTGGCAATTCATTCCACCCAGACACATCAATATCCAGGAAAATGGAGAAGTTTGCTGTTCCTAACTTGCTTTGCAATGTTTTCCTCTGATCTGAACCAGAGCAAAACTTAGACAATCTGAAGCACTCACTTTATTCATCACCCAGTCAGCATCTTCAATGGCTCTTTTAATAATCTGCTGGATTCGCTCAGGATCATCTTCATCAGCATGAACTTTGAAACTCTGCAAAAGTCAGAATGTTACACTGACCACCCAACTTCATGCAACAGTTGTCAAAATAAGGCTAACTTCAATCCCAAAGAAAATGTTTGATGCAAACTGTTAATCTGAAAATGTAAAAATATAGATTACAGCACCTGGCTGTGCTATTTCCAGAACAAGTCTTGTCTAATGGAACTTCATATTAAGGGTTTTCCTTCTTCATACATCAACAGCAAAAAACAACAGAGAACTTCAATTCAGAACAATTGAAACTGTCTGGTATATCAAAACTAAAAAGACACAGGACAACAGGTATGATCAAAGGCATGAAATTATTTTCATATGAACAGTTAGATGAGAGTTACCCAGGGGGTAGGTTTGGGGACAAGATGTGTATTTATTAAAAAATGACCAACAAGGAACCAGTACATTTTCCCACAAAATTTGTGATTGGGTGTGTCAGGAATGATGATTCACTCTCTTGACTAACCCAAGAACTAGAAATGAAAGCCCAGGAAAAATTGAAGGTTTCAGATTAAAAGCAAACAAAAAGAAATGCTCCTTCACATACTCCCAGTATAATCCTTTAAACCCACTCATGTTGCAGCAGAATGATTTCTTAAGTGCCAGGAGATAGTAAAAGTGGGTCGAAACTACAGGAGAACCAAAAAAAGACTCAACCACATTGAATTCCATCAGCAGAAAACAGGTCTGTTTCTCACCTGCCTGATTGCATGTCTGTAATGCTGACGAATGTTCTCTTCAGGAAGCTGCTTGCAGCATCGAAGCAGGTAACGATACAACTGCAGAGAGTTCTGAACTAATTCTGCCTTTGGTAGGGGGGCCATTCTCCAGCTTTTTAGCTGCTGAAAATGAGAAACACAAATCCAAATGCCCAATTAATATTTTTAAAGAAACACAGCCAGCAAATTAACGTTTAGCAGCGTAGCTTGAAGAAACTTTAGAAGAAAACAATATGGACTGAATCAGAACCCAGTTTATGGACAGATGAGGGTCAGTCGTCATTGATCAAAGTTTGAAAATACAAAAGTGTGCAGTTCATGCAAGAAGCTCACTCTGTGTAAGGTGTATTGACATAGTACATTTTTTCTAGTTTAAAAAAAGATCGAGTGTAAGCTGCTGCCAGCACACAAAGCATTGCAGCCCTGAGGGAGTTTTCTACTTCACAAGCCATGATTCTTAGATTCATTCAAGCTCTCAGGGCTTTCCTTGAGCACCTGGAAGAGTTCATCAACATGGTGACACTGTAGAACGAGGACACTCATAGTTGCTACAAGTGGTGTTGGAATTCAGTGACATTTTCTCATATTGTCATTCTCTCAAGAATATCTTGTGAACTGGCATGTGAATGTCAGGCTTTAACATGAAATGACATCTATAAATATAGAAGAGAAGCAAAAATATTGATAGGTTCAGGATTTTCCTTTTTTTTTTTTTTGGTAACAGCAACGGGAAAAGAACAAATCTAGCAAGTTTAACCTCCATAACTACTTACTTACATATTGTAGCAATAAGTCCATCCAAGCTATATAAAGTGCTAATCAAATACTGTAAATGACTTGTCATTTAACAGATGGTTACCATCTGCAGAGAACTAGATTAACATTTGGATAAAGGCACTTTTACATCATTACTCTTAAGAAAAAAGAGAATAAGTAACTGAATAATGAAGTAGGTGTGTGGCATTATTTTAGAATCTGTTATGATACTTACTCATCATTTGGAATATTTTTTTCCTTTCTCTTAAATAAGTTCAGTCCTTTGGCCAAATTTAGTTCAGAATAGAACACCACAGCTGTTGCATGCCTGGGCTGTATTTTTGTATAGACTAGCTTTTCTTGCAGTGCAGCAAATCTCCTCATTATCTGCCTACAACATGCCCATCATAATGGGTTAAGTACTATTGTAATCTGTATTTTCAGCAAAACAGTCTATAAGTAGACACAAATTAGCATATCTCCATAGCAGTAACAAGAGCTATGCTGGTGTACATTAGCAGAGGTCACTGAAAACCATTAATATTTTAAGCACAAAAAGTATGATTCTTGTATGTGAAGAAAATTAAAGAATTCCATGACAAAAAACACAGACTGTGTCTTATTCTTGAGGGGTTGGCCTCTATAACACTGCTTTACTCATGGCACAAAACCACAGTAAAAAGTCCTATCTGAGCCCCTCAGGGTATTGGGTTCTTTCAGTTCACTGCTGAAAGACTGGGTGAAATCTCTGCTCTATTGATCTCTTGGATCAAACCACCTTTTGTCAATGGGTGCATCTTGTAAAATAAGATGGAGTTGCTCCTGTGTCAGAGCTTCTTGTCTACAGGAATGTGAGAAAGAGCCCTACAATATTAGCATTATCATCTGTAATGGAATTGTGCCCATACTCCTCAGTCCAGGATCCAGGCTCTGTCACAGTACTTACTATATATACATACTTATCTAATGAAAAAGTTTCTGCCACAAAGAATTTACAAGGCAGACTAATGACAAGTCATAAGATGAGGCAGAACGAGGCAGATGTGCCCAACAGGTGGGATGGGGAGGAGGTGACAGTAAGATGATCCTGGTTTTGTGTAGACTAATGGAACACACAATATAACTCACCACTTGCTCAGCTGGTGACAACATCCCAGTTGTATAACACTATTTTTTTAAGGACCCACAGAAACACTGTGAGTCATGGCTGAGGGGTGTTATGGAAGCCCCTAAGAAAGGCTCTGATGACACTTCAGAAAAAAGCTTTTCTAGCCACCAAGGGAAAAGGATGACTGTCTTATGGAAGTACTTAACAGGGTTATTATCCCATGAGCTGATGATGTAAATTACTAAAACTAATTCTAAGATATACAATAGGCTTAATAGGCCTAAACCTTTGAAGAACGTATGACAGGTTCCCCTTCCTGCTTATTAATACTGACATCTTTTCTTACATCTGAAAAAGGTTCTGTGTAGTTCATTTGTGACTTTACTCATAATCACTTTAGCAACACTTTCCCCAAGCAAATCCTTTTCTCCAAAGTAATTAGAGTACACAGACTAAAAACAAGTGGTACTCCAAAATAAATGCTGATCACAGCAACTAACTCCCTAGTGAAAAATACCCATGAAAGTTACAAAAAGCCCAATTTGACCTTCATTACCAACATGCCACATTTTTTTGTGATCACAATGAACTGAAGGATTTACTGTTACTGTTTACTGTTATTAAAGTTAAAATAAAACCCCCTAACCAACCAAAAAGAGGCTGTTGCATCCCAAGCTCTGTGAACACCACTGTGACAGCTGGGATGACTTTCCATTGGAGCTAACACAACTCAACAGGTCAACTACCTGCGAAAGACTCAGCTTGGTCACTTCCTTAATTAATCATAGCTTAATGACTTCAGGGAATTTTGGAAAGATAAGTAGATGGATAAATGGGAGATGCCAATGTCAAATACAGCAACTGGAAATCCTCTTGCTTTGTATCATGCTGGAAGTGCTCCATCTAGTGCAAGGAGGACTAATACACATCATGGAAAGACACCAGGTGGATCAAATTTACATTTAAGATAACAACTTTGATTCTGTTGTTATTACTGAAGTCTAAAATAAAATATTTTAGGGACTGAAATATTAGCATTTAAGAAAGATTCCATGGACAAAACGCAAAAAAGAAGCATTTCTGATTTTTTGATAAAATAAGTTGGAAGTAGATGCCATTGAGTGGAGTAAGTTTTCAAACACCCTCTTCTCTCAACATGCAAAATCCTCATGTCTTGTGGGCAAGCAAATCTAAATTAGTTGGCTCCTGGTTTCTGTCACCATAGCCATGACCCTCTGCTAACTACCTGCTCCTCCCACAGCTGACATGCCATAAGGAAAGAAAATCTGTGCCAACTTCTGACAGATCAGTGAGGTGCCAGGAAAGCTCCCTTACCCACAAAGAACCTCATCTTCCTGAACTGAACTGTGGCTTTCTGCACTTGGAGCTTCATGGGGTGTGTCTGCTTTTGAATTCTTGACGTATCCTATCAATAAAGTAGGAGAGATAAGGTAAGACTTCACAAGGATCCCTTCTGAGAATCATTCACAGCCAAAATATGGTTTCCATTAGCTTTCACAAACAATTAGGAAACCATTCTTCCATCAGGAGGGCAGTAAGTTGGCTCTATACTGCTGCTGCACTCTTTGCATTCTCCTTGGTTTTTTTCTTATTTGTTAAATCAAAGCTCTCTGGCCTCACACACTGCAGGAATTGGATACTGTCCAAACCCCCACATCTGTAGGGCAGAAAGAAGCCACAGAAGTTCAGACAAAGATGATCAAGAGCTGAGTTTTCAAAAAGGCTTCAGTCTGACTGGTCCCAATGCTAGCTCTCATTTCCCAAACAGACAAGATGTGCTAATTATGGTTTTACCTAAAAAGTTCAGCTTAAAATACAGATCAGACTACCCCCAGGATCCAAAATGTTAATCTCGTCTTGCCTTCCCATCTTTTTTTCCCCAAAATATCATTTTCACTTTGCAATGAAAACAATGCTGGGAATCAGATCCATGCATTTTTTTTTGGTTTGGATTAATTTCACTTTTGCATTTGAGTACAGGAGATAGTTATAATCAGGAGAGTCAGTAGAGATTTCTACATTGTCCCTCCCATCAGCAGAAAGATAAGCAATTCCAAAATGTGACTCAAATACTAGACTGAATTATTCCCTGCCATTCTATCCACAGAACACAGAAAGAGCAGCAAAACAAGAATTGTAACATAGATCCTGCAGTTACAAGCCTAAATTAGGTAGGATGATTCCAAGTCTGTGTCCTATTCTGAAAACAGAAATATAATCATAGAATGGTTTGGGTTGGAAGGGACCTTTAAAGATCATCCAGTTCAAGCCCCTTGTCATGGACAGGGACATCTTTCAAAAGAACAGGTTGCTCAAACACCATCCAACCTGATTGGACTTTGAATACTTCCAATGATGGGACAAAAATAAATAATATATCATCAAATAACATCTCACAGAAGAGTTTGCTTCAGACTGGCTCTCAGTATATGTAGATGTTATCAGTGGTATGTCTGTCTACCTATCATGCAACCCACTCTGGCTCTCAGTATATGTAGATGTTATCAGTGTCTGTCTACCTATCATGCCACCCACTCTTAAGTTCTAGGTTACTGGGGCACTGCATGAGCATAACTCAGTGAATAGATCATGCAAACAGGTAAAGCTAAACTCTGCACTTGTGCACCCCATGACATTGGAGAATTTGCATAATTACTGCTGTACTTTGCCTCTTTCTTAGCATAACAAGGACAATGAAGCATAGTAAGAATCTGCACTATTGCCTTTTGTTCTGAAAACATCCCCCCTTGAATCCTACAAACATTGCCATTTTTATCTGCCAAGAGAACACCCTCGACCTCAAAAAATCTGGCCATAATCCTGACAAATAATGTAAATCTCCTTCTGATAACTTAAATATCATGCATAGCACAACAAACAATCTATCTAAACCAAGAACTGTTGAGTCAGAAATAAAATAATCCACTAATTGTGCTCTTCTGGAATGGATGACTGTATAATGTCCTAATCAGAAGGCTGAAATCACATTTGCATTTAGATAAAGCCCTGTTTAAAAAGAGTCAAGTATAAAAGGAGACACTGAGACTATTGTGGCATTTCTCTGCATTGCATAATCATTTAAATTCCTGATAATGATATTCAGATAGTGAAGCAGGGGCTGACCAAAGCCAATTAATCTTGCACTCTGCATTAGCAAGCTTGTCAATTGACCCAGTGTACAGCTGAACCCATGATGATACTGATAGGACACTGCCACTGCTCTCAGATGAGA